GCGTCCAACATTTTTTCCAAGGCTCTCCCAGCTGATCATCCACAACAAATTGGCAGTGATTCGGGTGTCCAACGCGTCAAGTCAAAATTAAACAAGAATTGATATGTGCAGAAAGCAACCATGTGATCATCATCGTGATTTATTTCTATTTTTTTTCCTTGAAATGTAACACTTCCAGAAAAATATACTTCACAATGGCTTACAGAGTAAAATTACAATCTTTTTTCCACCTCTGATACTTTCTTATGATTATCTGTCACATGATTTCAACTTGAGTATCTTGCAGTGACTAAGATTGAGAGGAGAAAGATATCGATTATGAAAATTTCAATGAAAATAAATGATACAGTGGCATTTTTCAAACTCCATAGAGAGTCTCTATCAACTAATCACTTTATGATCGAATAGTTTCACACAGTCACCAATGCAAAAATGCATATCCTTTTGCTGCAACACCATTAAATTGTCATTGACAAAACAACAAATATAATATTGTATAAAAAATTGTCACTCTTATTCACCCACGCTCGATACCAATAGAATAGTATCTGATCGACGTACGCTTCGGCTCTTCCGGTGACATAGACCAAGCTATAATCATCAACTTGTTCTGTAAAAATTTCACCTTCAGTCTTGTCATACGATTGACTTGCATGGCCTTTTGTTGTAAAGAATTGTACTTGTCTTATTAATATTGTTCGGAATAGTGAATCATTTCGCACATAGAGTGTAACATTACCTAATCTTCCATTGATCTTGAAGTGTGAGTGTAAGTATAGGTATGCGTCTTTCTCACATCCACATCTATAGGCACACCAACATCTACATTGATAGTTCGAGCAGAGTTAATCCGATAAGAATCGCGACACCGATTCCAGTGAGTTGGAGACATAATCTATAAGAGAACAAGAAAAATTCATTGATTTTATTCCTTATACGAGAATACTTTGGTACGATCTTTGGTAAGAGTTTCGTATATCTACATTTTGAACTATTGTGCACTGAGTAGAATTTTTATCATTTTCTTTCTCGTTCAAAACATCAAAATATTCTACTCGCAGATGTTTTAAAATTCATATATTAGTATTATTTGACAACAATGTAACCAACGAATTAACAGCGTGTGGGTGTGGATGGGATGAAATGTGGATGTAGGTGTGAGTATTCACTTCCTGTATACGCACACTCCACGCCCACACCCAAAGGGTCGATACATGGTATGCGTTTTTTTGAAAACATTCCTGAATAATATTCGTTAATAGATCATTCCATGCTTCATCAGCCGCATTTTCTAGTTAATCATATCATATTGAATTAACTCAATGGCCAAAATATAGTCCTTATTTTAACGTCATTAAACTAGTTTGAAATAGGAATTCAAAAGCTACAACGTGAACTAGGAAATACGACCAATAAAGCATGGAATGATCTATTAACGAATATTATTCAAGAATGCTTAAAAACTCAGACAATGCATCAGTATTTTGTATTTTCACATTAAACTTTTATTTGTATTATAAACATCTACAATTGCATTATGCAAATATATATGTACGAAAATTTCTTCTGACCATAAACTCTATACTTTAGATTAAAAATACGATTCGCAACCATTTTGTCGTTGATAGTATGATTCTCAAAATTGTTACGAATGACACCAGCTGTTCATATCTTCGAGATTAGCTTTATCAGGAATCCGATAGAAACCTTCGCTGAAGCTATATCTAAAAACTAGAACTATTGTCGGTGGCAAAATACCTCCACTTCATTCGGTTCTTTTAAGAACCCCATTGATGGTCTGACTAGCTTGATGGAAAAGCTTCGGCTAAAACTATGGTTTCAGTCAGTGGGATTGTCGAGTAAAAAAAACGTTTTTCGCTAGTATATTTCGTTTTGTATGACACAAATGTTTCATTGATTAGTTTTTTTTGGTATTCATTTCTTATAATAAATCAGAAGCTGTTTATTTTTGTGTTCATCTGATACAGTAGAAGAATTGTTTCTTTTCTTAATTGTAATAATGAATCATTTGTTGTATCTTTTATCTTATAGAGATGCAAAATTTCTTGGAACAGGACGAATCCCGGTCTTAAAGGGCATAAATGTATCACTTTTCTTAATTTATCTATATAAGAGAATCATCTTTTGACAAATAATTCTATTTATTTATTTCATATAACATTAAGAATTAATTGAATAAAATATTCGTAATTTTTTAACACTTCTAGTTACATGCAGAAGTTTCGTTTTTTGTTTTTTCACATTTTCTATTCTGTAAGATATATGTTTGGTTACAGATCTTCATGGAATATTTTATCTTTTTTCTTCCGATTCATACATATAAATGCGTACTTGATCACTGTTGGCTATACTCGAACCAAAATTTTAATCAATTTTACTCGAGAACAGCACGTTTTCTATTTCTAAATTAGCAATAATCACATTTATCTGAACTATGAGCCTTCTGCATGGTAGAATTATGCTAATAAAGCTCGATATAAATCCTATGCATTCATAATATACTGAATTTTATGTTATTCTTCAATTTTATTTTACTTTGTTAATTCAATATAAACAGAAAAACAGTTATTTGCATTCATTAAATTATTCTGAAATGTATTTGTTTTTGTTTTCAACTGAACTGAACTTTTTCATAGGAAGATAAATAACGATAAAAATTTATCAAAAGACACTTTGTCTATAATGAAGTCTAAGGTGAACTTGTTCATAACGTGCTAATTTAACTTAGTATGAAATATGAAAAGCATGCATCTATACAACTTATGACTACATAATCTATCGATTTTAATTTCTAGCGAGCCTACTTTTTCATTTTTAATCAAATTATCAACCAACATAAACATTAATATAAAGAATGTCTCGTCCAAGTAAATGATTACTGAATTAAATCGATAACAAAAAAAAGGACATTGAATAGTAATAATAATATTCAAAGAAAAGAAAACATCAAGATCCAAAATAAATGCTTTGTCCTATTTTTTTTAACTTGTCTATCTATTTCGAATTTGTTTTCTAAAAACGTATATGTAATACATGAGCATTTTCTATTTCGCGAATAATAGAGAATGAACGAAGAATGACTTTGTTAACAATGAAAAGAGAAAAAAAGACGACAGCAGTTGACATAAGTGATCAACGAACAACGTAAATATTTTGATTTTTTTTTTCGATAAATCGATGTTGCTTTACTGGAAGCAACATGTTATATAAAGATTTTACGAAAAAAAATGCTGAATTTATTTCGACTTTTTCTGTCTGATTGTGTGAAACGACAAATTTCAAAATGTTGATTATAAGAGTCAACATATTTTTAGGTTTTGGAATTTATACTGTGCGACATTATACTTACATTATCTTTATTTCCAAAAGTTTTATTTAATTCTTGTGGCAATGACATCAAAATATGTTTGTTTTGATGATAAATTAAACTGTGCTCTAATAAGAGAAGTTCCTCAAATAATTAATTATTTTTAACATTGTGACTATGTCTATTGTGTATGACAGACACGCCTTCCTTACCCATCACAGCCGAGATAGACGTTGATATGTAATCAAAGATTATATAGCACTATTATCTCATTAGAATATATGGATGAATTCTTAATTGCAGTTCTAGAGGATTAATCAAACGATGCGAAAGATCTGTCCGAGAGTAAATCGAATGAACCAATTTTCATTTAATTAGCAACAGCAGCCTCATCGTGTTTCACATTTTAATCCTGCAGGGATTGCGCTAACAGCTTTCTTAGATGAGTAAAATAAAAGAAGATTTCAATAGGAATACATTTGTTTTCAACATCTTACTATTAACGAACAGTTTTATGAATAGTAAAGTATATTTGATTGGATACAATGCTAACTAAGCCTTTCACAAAATCAGATTTCACTTAATTGACAAATTTTTTGGTAGAATGGAACATCTAACCATCTAGGGTGTGAACGCGAAAGTGATCTTGATTAACTCACATCCTCACTTTTTCATTTGTCTCGTCCTCTAAAGAGTCAGTCCACCTGCCGATTACTCATACCTACCTCTGAATCACTACAGAAATTACGTGAGTCTTCTATTTCACAATCATAGTACTTTTGTGAAACATGATTGCTAATGAGTGTTGAAGTGTGTAGCGATGTTGATGTGACTCAGGATAAAACGACCACATTCACATTCACATCAACAGCCTATGTTACTATAACTACGATAGCGGTCGCGCGGAAATGTGTAGACACGGTGCAGGTGTGTGGGTGTGACGGTGGCTGCCTTCCTCTTCACACCAACACCCATACCCACGGTTACATCCTATCAATTCGAATGGTAACCAACCGATTTGGTAAAAAAAACTGATTAATTATAATAAAATGTGATATATTCAATTAGTAGTATTAGATCTAGGCTCATTCTGAAATCATTCTATGATATTTAAACTACGAAAGAAAAATTCAGCGAAAATGGAAATTATAATGTTGGCGTAGGTATGATTATGACCCATGTTGTGGATGCTGATAAGTTTGGGTGAAGATGATAAAGATGCACATGCACATCCTACTTCAAAAGTAAGATCGATATAACCTTGACCTACCATTTTCTAGATAATTATCAGAATTCATCAGTAAATTACTGATTGTAAAACCGATGAGAGTCAAGTAATCTGCCTCGTCGATATTAAAAAAGGTAAATATTTTTTACATTACTATCCTGAAACAATGACCAATTATTTCAATCAATATAGGTATTCTGTCTCATAACTTTAACAAAAAAAATTATGTTCAAATGGTATCATGTTTATTAGTGCTGCAAAAAATTAGAAATAGATATATAAATTCTTTATGTCCAAGATAAATAATATTTAGAAATTAACATCAATAGGGTGTAGGTGTATGGCTTATCTTAAACCGTATCCACACCCATATCCTCGGCTTTCACACTATAGATATTACATTTTGTTAATAATACATATAATCATGATTAATTGTATGCAGATTCAAACACATGATTTAAAAAATAATTTAAAAAATGTAGCTCTTAATTCTTTCGATGTAAAAAGATAAATAACAACGTCCAAAGCTGAGTTTGCATATCCTAACCATGAAAATATGCTGAATAATAATTTATGATGTTGATCGTCTTTTAAGCGTATAGCAAATGCACCACTCAATACAAGATAAACAAAAAATGGTAACCAACAAACAACAAATGTACCCATAACAATACCGATGAATATAGCCGCCTTTTGATCGTTCGAATTTTTTTTTCGAATTTTGTTTTTTCGTGCACATTTTTTTGTACTCTTATTAATTGATTTCGATTCACTTTCGTTATTCTGGTTGAGCGGTTCTACATTTGGATTTTGATATGCACCATGGTGGATACGAAGTGTTATTAATTCATGCGACGGTCTACGATTTTGTGATAA